GCTTTGAGCCTGTTGTTTGTTAGTATCTTCCTCTATTGCGCTGGGTGTATACTGATATTGATACGACGCAGACTCCGAGTTCAAAGACTGTCTAGCAGAGTTCATCCGCGACTTCAAAGTCACAAAGATGCACTCGCTGGCCGAAATCATCAACTTCAACCTCGACCACCCCGAACTCTGCCTGCCACCAAGTACGTCCCTCCAAACCACCCCATCTCCTCCTCTTACTAACACTCCCCAGCCTGCCCTGACCAAAACGACCTAATGGCCGCCCTACAATCCACAACCAAACGCGAAGAAGTAAACGCCGCACGCCAACACCTCCAAACCGCCGGCGGACCCGAAGGCCTCGACTACCTCTTCACAACCCTATCCCTCGACCTCATCGTCGCCCCCGGCGACGCCCCCCTCTCCGCCCTCGCAGCCGCAGCCGGCTACCCCACAGCCGCCTGTCCCTTATCCGCGCTCAAACTAAACGGCCAACCCTTCGGCATAACCCTCGCCTCACGCCCGCACACCGAACACACCCTCCTCCACTTCCTGACCGCCTACGAAAACATCTTTCCGCCCCGCGCACTACCCATGCCGTTGAGTTCGGTGCCGCTGCAGGATCCTCACCCGGAGCCGCTGCCGGATCAGCCTATTGTGGATTTGATTCTGCATGAGTGGGATACGAGAAGGTTTAGCTGTAGTGCGGATGCGTTGGCGGATTGGCTTAATGCGAGGTGGCGGAAGAGTGGGTATGAGTTGAGTGCTGAGACGGTTTGTGAGGTTTTGAGGAGTAATGGACGGATTGCTTTTAGGGGGCTGGGGGATGATGCTGAGGGGGCGTTCTCGAGGTGAGTGGGTTGTGTGTATGATTATGATGGTTTGTGTTATTTGAGTGGTGTTCGGTAGTATGTGGGTTAGCGTGGCGTTTGGTTGATTGAGTAGGTTTTGTTGATCCGGTTGGGTAACGGTGTTGGGGTGTTGGGTTTTAGCAAGGGATCTCCACAACCAGTCGTGTTTTGTGAGTCAGAGCAGAATCTTCACGCTACGTCCCACAACTCGCTTGAATTCCCACACGAAAGTTTTGTAACTTGCTCTCATAATGCTCTGTACCTCAGACCCATCTGTGATTAAACTGTGGACATATTGCGTTGAATTTATGATTCTTCCATCAACCAATCAACCACAAAAGCTGCTTGGCGCAGCGGAAGCGCGCCGGGCTCATAACCCGGAGGACCTCGGATCGAAACCGAGAGCAGCTAGATTGATCCCTTCTTTTTTGCCAATTTCTTGCACATGCCCTGTTTTCCCCTGCGCACCATGCATACATGCCCAGGTGTTATCTTCCCTTTATCGACATTCTTTTTGCATCAATTCCACGCGCAGAAATTAAGATGCTGCCTAGATGTTATGCATTCTGTGATAAGATTCATCCAGGCACAGAAGGCTCCAGGTCATTGATTGCTGGCTTTAATCCGACGTAAACCGCGATTCTGACGCATCTTACAAGCCATAGGAATACAACTTAATTATTCGAAATCTCTACAGCAGGTGTTACTCCTGACACCTGTGTACATCTTTTCTTGTTCATTGGATACGTATTCACGACATAGGTTCTTGTGACTAATGATCTTGCAGTGTTCCAAGCGTCATAGGCATCAACGATAATCACTACAATGAACCGTCTACTTAAGCCAACACCAGCGCTCGACAGAGCCTGTTCCACTTCTTTTGTCACATGATAATCGCATTACACTTGCGCTAGTCTTGGTCAAAGGTCCGCTCAGTCTTCTACATTTGTTTATTCTTCACACTCGGACGCCTACACCTCACCACAACAATCATTTCAAGCCAAGTAAACTGTCATGTCGGCGGCCAACAACATACGTGTTCACGTACGTAATGGAAACACTGTTCACGGCGTTATTCATCACGATCTCCTTGCTCGTCATTGTCTCCTCGACGATGCCCGTCACGCTATCGGACCAGACTACACCACCGCGCCTAATCTAGGTTTACTTTCTCGGCTTCCGGTAGAATTGCAACAGCAAGTTGTCTTGCACATGGATATTGGTACTGTATTGACGTGGAGAGGAGTCAACAGAATGGCAATGGACTTGGTATCTCAAATGTTCGAGTGGAAAGAGGTAAGTGAGAGACGCTCAGAGTAACAGCTTTCGGACTAACGCTGTAATCGTAGATCATCGCACTCGCTCCAAGCACCCTAAGAATGGCCATTGGAATTCACTCACAGGCCACGTTCAGTCTCGCTGACCTTCATGCCGCCCTCCACCGCCGGATCTGGGATACTCAGGGCTGTGACACCAATATCACACAGTATATAAATATGAAGACTCTCGCACGTCTCTGCCAGAACTGCTTCGCGCCTCACGCATGGCGTATAAAACACAATGTTTCACTCGCATTGGTCCATGGAGAGGAGCTCAGGTTGATTGAGTTGTTCCATAGTCTCTACGCGAATGAAAGGAGTGAGTCTAGCAAGGAAATTGCTGGGTCACGCAAGGTACCTGTTACTGAGAAAATGGCCTTCGTTTATATGGGCGCGCTGGAGAAGTGAGATAAGGTGTTGCAGTAACAAAGGGTCAAGGTATCGATGGCGGAGATGCGGACAAAAGCTGGGCTGGTGGGTTGGCTTGGAACGAAGACAGTGGACGTTACTAGGGGATGATCGAAGCTAGGCCGCCCTTTTCTAAATACACACTATCAAATGCTATCGAACAAGTATTACAAAAGGCAACGTATACTTCAACCTACGCTATATCCATGAAACATCTAACGCGAAACGATCTTGTCGTCTCCTAGTCCCCAGTTAGCGACTCGCACATTGCACGCCGAGGTGAAGTAGACTTCTGCGTCACCACTACTTTAGCAAAAAGATACCTTCTCAAGCGAGTTTGCAAACAGTCCCCACGCCGGCGCAGATAGGGCAGCAAAAAAAATGATAATGAATTGAACATGGCGAAACTCGAATCCGGGTCTCCCTGCATACACTCGTGGACTAGCACGCACAGTAGCTTTACGGGCGCCTTGCTATACTCGCTTTATGAGTCTAGACCACATGCCCTTGAAATGTTTTCGATGACTAATCTTAGGATTGAATAAGACATATCGATGGTGGAAGAAGGGGAGATTGGGTGGGTGGAGTGGTGGCGGGTCGGCTTCACCTGGGTAGTACGTAGCGCTCGATTAGTACTGACGGTCTCACTGCTTGCTTCTACTGCACTCTCGACGCAGGTATCTAGGTACGGTTTTAGGTTAAGCAAGGTATCGGAGATTTCCTAGGTGGAAAAAGTGGGCTGTAAGAGTGGTATTGCTTGTCCTACTGGTACTGACTTGGTAAACGTGAAAGTCCTGGTCTTCTTCATTACACTATGTCTCTTTGCTGTGCGCTTTTACATCTTGATGAGCTTGTGGAAACCTGTCCGACTGGAACTGTCGCATTTTGCTGATATATATGGACGGCTCCTACGTTGCGGGGTTTTGAGCGTGGAATATGCTTTCGTTCTGCTGTGAGAGCCAGGAGGGCTATCTTTTGTCATTGCGTATTACACATCGGATAGCGGGGTCTCTGTCGGTCTGACTGTCGGACGTGGGTGTTGAAGGTACTGCATGCCGGACCTGTTGACTCCATGAGTTTGGTGTATTGATAACGGGTGGGAATAAGCTCACCGATCATGCATCGAGCCGAGATTCTGCCTCCCGCAGCGATTCCCTGACTGATGCTTTCAACGTCCTGAACTGCTCCTTTAAGCTCTCAATCTCCACTTTTTGATCATCATTCATCAACAATAGTGCAATATTGTCTTCCTCCAAATCCTCAATCTTTGTCGCTTGTGTCTCACTCCATGCTTCCCTCTTAAGAAGATCCTTTTTACAGCGATCGATCTTCCCCTGAAAGTCTTTTTTCTCGCTTTTCCAGTCTTCTTTCTCATTCTTCAAGTCTTTATTCTCACTCCACAATTCCTTGTTTATCCCCTCCGAAATACGAAACTTCTTCTCTAACTCTCCATACTTTGCCACCCACCCGTCGTGCACAATCTTCGTCTTCTTGTTCGCCTCTGCCAACATTTTTGTGCCGACTGATTCCTCAGTCGTGTCTGACTTACGTTTCTTTTGTGGGAGAGGGCATCCTGTCTTCGTATGCCCACACTTCTGACAATTGAAGCAGAGAATAGTTTCCGCCCGGGGGCAATCGTCGATGAAATGGCCTGGTAATTCGCAGTGGAGGCATTTGGGTGGGAACTTTTCGCACGTCTCTCGGTAATGGCCGTGATCCCCACAGCTCAAGCACAGATGAGCTGGGTTCTTGCAAGTGGTGTCGAAACAAGGTGCCACCATGTCGAATTTTGGCTTGGATCTTTGGCGTTGTAAGGGAAGCCGTGAAGAAGTAGGCTGGTCGAGAGGAGCTGATGAAAGTGGTGAGATGTTATGAGTGAGCTGAGTTATCAGGCATGAATTATCTGGCAGTGTTGAGAATTATTAGCGAGGAACGTACCATGAAACGGTTCCCAACACACCCCACAACAACATCCAATCCAGTGCCGCGCATATCGAAAGGGTCGCTTCAATTACGTCTGTATTTGGGAAATTTGTAGGGGTTTTCTTCCACTGTGTTCTAGGTCATTCTCATTACAGTGATGATGCGCAGTGATGAGACGACCCAGCCCTGATCAAATCCAGGCCTTGGTGGCTCTGAATCCAAGACATCAGTGTAAATTCATCCCATTCGAGAGACAAAATGAACGCTCTGAAGCCCACATTGACTTCAGGCCATCTAATTCGCATGTGTCCATCTTAGTGTAGGCTGCAGATCTGTTCAGTTTTATATCTGTACGAGGAACACTCAAACGCATCGTGGATAAGAACCATCAGTGTGTAAGACGCCAGGAAAGTTTACATGGATGGTTATCTCCAAGAATAGCACTACAAAGAAAGTGAGCCTGGTACATATTGAGAGTACCGTCGCGACCTATTTTGACGAAGGCTTGAGCTCATCTATATCCGACCTGTTGAATACGCTGTCCTAGCAACACTGTGGTACCCGGGTAGTATTCCGTGATACCGTGAATTTGCTTAAGGCGTTTCTGCTCTGCCGCGATCCAATCATGAGGGTTTCTCAAATTCACTTCGTCTCCGAAATTTTCAAGCATCTCCTCGACGATGAGACTCAGTTGGGTATCGACGGCTTGCAGTGCCAAGCATATGCGACCATCCAATGGAGTCCTGCCGTAGCCGTACTTAAGCAGTGCTTCAGATATCTGCCTCGCGAGAGCGAAGGCTACGTCATATCTCCATCTCAAGTTACCATTGCTCTGCTTGACCTCGATGATGTTGATGTCGTGTACGAGTATGTTTATCGTGCGGCTTAGAATATCTGGGTTTTGATTGAAGGTATTCCGTACGTATTGCCCATAGAATTGCAGTTGCGCTTCCGCTGCATAGGGATTAACCTTGCGTAGTTGGGTGTATTGTAGATCTGATTGTTCTCGTCAGTACTATAGAGCAACATTTAAGAATCAGTGGGCAAGTTACTTTTGTGCAGTCCCAGCATTCTCAGTGCTTCGTAGGGATCCATGGTGTTGCTCTGTGCGGATTTGCGCCAACGTTCATGCTTATCGTTTGCTTCCCTCAAGTCTTCGCTCAGCAGACTAACCTTCTGCTGCGCGCGCCGCAGCTGTTCCTGCGTGTCTTGTAGTTTTCGACGCGTTTCACGCAATTCTTCTTGTACCGCGATGCTACTAGCATTATCTTCGATTTTCGGGCATTCTTTGCGAAGATGTCCAAAGCCGCTGCATCCGTAGCACTTTATGTTGGCCTTGTCAGGGCAATCATCCATGATGTGGCCCTTCTCTCGACAATGGAAGCAAGTTGCTAACGGACAGTCCTGGACCCAATGCCCCTGGGCATTGCATTTGAGACATCGGTCGCCTCCGGGAATAACTTCGTTGGCGTAGTCGTTCAAGCCTGGGGTTGAAGAACGTGAGCGCGGAGGCGAGCTCATGATGCTGTCGCGTGTTGCGTGGGTGTGTTCGCGAGCCCTAACAACCTCCGAAGGAAGAGTGCTTGCAAAATAAGAACTGGGTACCATGTGCGCCATGCTTGCTCATGGATAGATGTCTTTGTAGGAATTCGCGTTGTGTTCGAAGGGTACGCCTGAGGGACGACGACGACATACCCACCACATCGCGGGCGCGACGCGTCGCGTTTCAGGAGACCTCGTGCTTGTCACGTTCGTGCTGCGCTTGTCACGTTCGTGCCGTGCTTGTCACGTTCGTGCCGTGCTTGTCACGTTCGCGCCGTGCAGGCTACGTTCGCGCCGTGCAGGCCACGTTCGCGCCGTGCCTGTCACGTTCGTGCTCGTCACGTCCCGCCGACTAGGCTTGAGATAATTTAGCTGACATGGAATGAACGCGCATGGAAGTATAAATGCATCCGGCTTACACCGAAACCGAAGATCAGACGAACTCCCGAGGTCTTCGAAGCTTCAGCTGGTGCAGACACTGCCCAGGTGGTATATAGCCGTTGTGACAGCATCTAACAGGCTCCAAGATGCGCACGGAACACGAAGAGATATCGTGTCATAGAGTGCGCCTCGTTGCTCAAAAGTATACAAAGGTATCGAGATTGCAGAACATGAAGTGAAGGGCCGATGTGGACGTCGCGGTGGAAGATAGTTCACGCTAAGTTCTGGGGCTTAAGGGAAACCTACGAACTCCTCCAGGATAGTTCATACTGGCGATGTACGAAATTTTCGGATGGGGAAGAAATGGCATAGTAGAGAAATGCACGAGGGTGTTCAGACTGTTTGCTGCAGGCGACCAGTGGGTGGTTTCCACAAGGGAACTAGCCTATCACATGATCGCGCTAATGCATCTCGCGCGGACCCTGGAACTCCGCTCCTCCCCGACGCTGAACCTACATTCCTGTTCGCAAAATGCTATCGTGCGAACATATGCCGCTGCCGAGCTCATCACACAACCGCCGCAGCAGTTGTCTCTGGCATCTTCCCGTCATACTTGGAGAATCGTTTACCGCGCGGTCAGACGCGTCGCGAGATGCGCGCGTCTGGCATGCGCTTCTAGCTCTCCAGCCGCAGACTCACTGAATTCTACGTGTTCTTTGGAATGTTCGCATCTGCGCATTATGCTCTATGCTATCGCAAAAGCTTGCATGCCCTTACTTTGGGACACGAGGTCTGGATGAACATGATGAGCAAACTGGGCCTGGACATCTGCTATACGCTATGTGCACGTTGTTGCGGTGGACTTTGAACATACGCATCTGAAATATCGGTCTCCCAAACTTACCCTCGTCCAGTCTGCAGTCAATTACCTCAATGCACAATATCTGCTTATCCCACCGCTTCCTTTGCCTCCGATAAGGCACAGAATTCCCTGCCAGTCTATCGTCAGACTCTCACCTTGGAGTGTTTTCAGCAACCGTCCAGACTCACCATCAACGCAATCGGGTTTTTGCTCCCCTCACCTTCAACGGCCGGCGGTTTAGCGTCACTGCCCTACTATTTAATCCGCTGCTCTGCTGGTAACCGTCACTCCTTCACCATCCTTCCCTTTCTTTTCTCCTCCAGTCTTCCATCAATCCACTTGCTTTGCAACAACTTCCCTCTTCTTCTACACCTCGCCGAGAGCAAAAGGTCTAGTATCAGCTACGAAGCATGGCAATGGAGCCGCTCCTCAACTTTGGAGGGTTCCAGGATCATGCCCATCTCTTCAAGACTGTCCTCAAGTACGATGCAAGTGCTGAGTCGAAAACTCCACATGATTGGTGGGATCTGGACCGAAACACGATCCACGCCATACTCAAAGACATCTCAGAGAAAGTCGCTTCATGCACCAAGGGCAAGACGGGACTCGACAGAGAACTTGAGCACGTCGTAAAGACCGCAGTGATGCTAGACCAGGTCGAACGCGCATCCCCGATCAAGATTGCCCTCATCGGAGCCCAAGGCGCTGGAAAGAGCCTTCTGATCAACGCTCTGTTTGATTGTACCGGTTTGTCACTGACAGGTGCAAAAGGCTTTGCTTGTACCAGCGCCATCGTCAAATACGCATACGGTCCGGGCGACAAGTTCTCTGCCGAAGTCAAGTTTCTCAATGCAGAGAAGCGTGAAGCCATGGTAGATGAACATATTCGCTCTTATATGGACTACCATAACGATCTGGACGACTCAGAAGACGAAGATGGCCCGCGAACTCGATCCTTCAAGCAGGATGAACTCGAGCGAAAACGCAAGAAAACAGCCGAAGACTTCTTCGATACCATCTTTGGATCCAGAGAAGAGTTCCTCGATGCTTGGAGCTCAAGCCCTGTCAATACCCCAGAATTCAAGAGCTTATGCCAGCTCAAGTGCAAAGAAGCAATGCAAGATCAGGACATGAACTCCCAAGGGATTGCAATGTTCAGCAAGAACACCCCGAAGGAACTTTTAGACGTCATCAAACCTTTTCTGTCCAACGTCGAGGGCGAGGTTTGTCTTTGGCCTATTGTCGATTGCGTCACGATTCGATTCAATCATCCTCTTCTTCAACAGAATTTGGAGTTTATCGATCTGCCAGGTTAGTATTGAGACAAGGAAAGCTTATCACAGCTAACAAGTTCTAGGGTCTGGTGATACGAATATGTCACGAGCGCGACACGCCGATGAGGTCAAAGACACTGTCGACGTCGAGATCATCCTCGGTGACACAGTTCGCATCGGTACCGACGAAATGGTGATCAGCAACGCAAGAGCTGGTGTGCTCAATCATGGTGCATCGAACGTGAAAGTTGTGGCAACCAAAATTGACGTATGTATCTTAAGTTTCACTTGGGAATGTACTAACTTCATCCAAAGTCACTTTCGGAAGATCAACTCGCACAGTGTTCTGGTGCAGTATATGACGAAATCAACACCCATATGCAACAGGCTGACGAAGACGCTACCACCGCGGAAGAAGAAGATGATAACACCAAGATATTGTTGGTTTCACGCTACAAGTCGTATCTTCAGCGCTACAGGAAGGCGTATATGATCAGAGAGCGTGCAGAGTCTATCTCCAGGATACTCGGATCGACCCTCCAAGAGCTCTCTCACGACGATACCGTGGAAATCTTCCATACATCCACAGCAAACTACATGAGCTGGATCAAGTCTGGAAAGATTCAGTACGACCAGCAACCTGCACTATCCGCGGAGCATACTGGAGTACCGGCGATCCGCAGGTTCTTGTACAACCTAGGAGCCCCTCAAAACCTGCGCTCCTATATATTGCACGGAAAAGTAACGGTTCCCGCCTTCGTCGAGAAATTGAAACGTGTTGTCACGCAGTCAGACCGAGACGCTGGATTCGTGACAATTGCTGACGAGTTCGACGACCTCCGCCGCAGGTTTTTGGGTGATCTAGCCAAGATGCTACACTGGCACTGTCTTGGCTATTCAAAGAGTAGCATTTCGAAGATCGAGAAGGACATCAATGTCTACAAAGGGGCCCTGGACAAACGTATACTGAAGAAGTGGTTGGACCTAAAGAACGCCGCTTGGAACCGCATTCTCAAGAACAGGGGTTACGTTCCGCAGGGAACATCCAAGGCCAAGGGCCTAGAGAACACAGTGAACTGGAATTTGGAGCTGGCTACCTTACTGAGGCCCGGCTTCTACAAGTGGTACGCTGTACATTCGGAGCACTTGAAGAAACTGAGAGCTGCGTTACCGCTTACCATGGACGACTTGTTCAACAAGACAATGGCTTTGATGAAGGATTCCGCGGCAAACCTCATCACTGTCGAGAAAGCCAAGCTCAAATTTCTTCCGATGCAGCATCGAATGAAGAGTAAGATTCTGGCTATGATGGACGAGATGATCGCTGAGGAGAAGCGCCTACTGCACCGGGCTACCCTGGAAGATGAACGCGAGAACAACATGATTGCGACTATCACGGATGAAATCTACGACTACGTCTTCGCCGCCACTCCTGAGATCAAATCCATTGTCAAAGGAAAAAAGCGGTACCACATGCCAGTCTTGAAGTTCAAGAAATCTCAGCTGGAAGCGCGCTTCCTCAAAGCCGAGAACCATTTCGTTGACAGAGCCATCGCAACATTCCGGACTCAGCTCGACGACAAGATGGGCGCTCTGATCGACAAACACTTCGAGAAATTGAACGCCATGTTCGACGAGTATAGCACAAACCTCCGCGATCACGCTCCAGTCGACTATAAAATCATGCCTCTGGGCGAGCAAGTCCGAGAGCAGCTCGAGAAGCACCTCCCATATATTGAGAGCCAAGCTGAGGCTTTACTTGGCCATCTCCCCAAAGGCTCTGAGGATGGCGATGAAGCCGCTGCCAATGCAGAGTTCCTCGATGACGCTGGTGATGGTATTCGCGACCTCGGATACTTCATCGAGCAGGTGTCCAAATCCAAGCGCAAGGCTCCTGATAACTCAAAGGCTATGGTGAAGAGGATCAAGACAGAGCCTGCCTGAGGCTATCTCGACAACACAGGATCTGGCGTGTACCTCCGGAACCAAGTCTTGATCATCTACTCGTCAACTAAAGTTCCTACGAATTCGGCAATTGAACTATCCGACAATGGGATGGTCGTGGCTACATATCATCCTTTCTCTACTTCAAACACTCTGCTAGACAAAAGTCGGAGCTATGCTGCATGCCAGCTTTTCAGTTTGGAGTCACGCCGCAATCGCCGTGCAGGCGTATGCAAAGTATCATTTAGGGCGTATGCTTCTTGTTTTCTTTCCAGCGTTCACGATGTCTTCTCTCAACGACAGCAGCAATTGGTTTGGCGATTTCTTTCGTTCTATTCAGCAGGCGACTTTGAGCCTACTCTCAGGGTTCGGTCTATCCTGCGCAAAAGTTTTTCATCATCGAGCGATCTTTCGACCGTACTCAGTCATAGCAACATGAATCACATTCAAGATACCAGCATACCTTTGCTTACATTAAATGCTTTACGTGATCAACCCGGTCGTCCACTGAATATCTCTAGCTCGATGCCTCTTACACGCTATAGACATTCACGCTCTTCCAATGCACACTGAGATATTCGTCTGTTAAGAGGAATTGAGAGGGATATAATAATAGACGCTAACAAGAATGTGTATGTACCAGCACGCGAAAGATGAAAGGAGAGTCAAAACCATACAGTACACCAACAGCAATCCGCATCTCCTACTCCAAACCCAAAGAACACCAGTATCGTATATCCACCACCCATCTCCCACAGCCCCCATGATCCAACACACAGACTCCTACAATCTTCTCTGCACCATCACAACATAACTCCCCTCTACGCGCCATCCCCCCACAGCCCAACAACCTGCATCGCAAACGCCACGCCCGCCAACCCCGTCTTAACCCACTCAACCACCTGCTTCCGCTCCACCGCCAAGCGCACCTGCTCGCCATTGACCTCATCGCCCTGCGCCTCCAACTCCATAACCTGCCTCTTCTCGTTCCCGCCCTCGGTCAGACCAACCGCATAGTCCACACCGGGTCCAGAGACAAACGAGAAAATAGATGTGTAGAGCAAGTACGGGTGGCGGAAGCGGGCGGGCGAGAGACAGTAGGCGGAGAAGAGGGTGAAGGTTGTTATGTGGCGGAGGTAGGAGGATAGGTTTGTGGATTTGGTGGTGAGGTAGATTAGGGAGGTGCGGGCGTTTATGGCGGTGGGGAGGGCGAGGAGGGAGGGGAGGGCGATGGTCGAGACGGTTGCTGAGACGCCCTAAGGGGGTGTGTTAGTTATCTGGACAGTGTCTTCTGGGGTTTGTGCTGGGGGGTTTGGTATAGGGAGGCGTGGGTTGGAGCTCTGATAGCTTTCAAGCGGGGAGCTTGGAGAAGGGAAGTGGCGGGTGGTGATCTTACAGTTGCGATTCCCAGGGTGATTGTTCCGACGAATTTACATATTGAGACTGTTTGGGCGGCCATTGTGATGGTACCGTGAGGTTTGGGGAGATTGAGTCGCTCTGTTTATCGCGAGGGTACTTTGTCGTGGAGTTATCTGTTGGCAATGCAGGTTGACGTGCATGCAGCGCTTGGAAGATTGCGGAGATGCTGCGGGCATCATCCGGAGCAGGCTGTCATCTTTCGGAGAAATCGGGATGGCCCAAGCTTCCCCTTCCCAGAATGCGGAGAAAGAGCACATGTCAATCAGTAATCATAGGCCACACGCCCTATAGAAAGAAAGATGTTGATTCATTGTCAGGACGCTCTTTACCGTACGTACGCTGCACAGTCTCTCAAACCTATAAAATGTATTCGATGCGCGCGATGTATCGCCCAGGGCGGATCGCAAGCATCAATCGAGTAATCTCGCCAGTCGTACCTCGGCTTACAACACCAACGCGTATCCTGCACGCATCAGCCGGGGCTTGCGGCCGTAACTTTCACACGACGTGAGCAACCTCAGCTACTTATACTCCACTCCATATTTGTACATCCGCTCGAACGATAACTCCCGACGTCGTCACCTGCTCACTCACCACCGCCAGTCCTGCACGCTTCCAGTCCGAAGACCCCGATAGCACAGAACCCGCCTGGAAAACACCGCGCACCATGCCTATGGAGAAGTACCAGTTTATGAGCAATGTCTGGAGGGATGGCATCTTTGGTATGTCCCATATACTGGACAGCAGGCGTGGATAGGCAGAGCTGGCCTATGGCCACTATGCAGACTGCTTAACCTCCAGGTCAGTAGCTAACAACCACCCAGACAACAAAGTCGTCTTCTGCACCGGCGGCGCCGGCACAATCTGCTCCGCCCAAGTCCGCGCCATGGTCGCCCTCGGCGCAAACGCCTGCATAATCGGGCGCAACGTCGAGAAAACCGAAAACATGGCCAAAGACATCGCAACCGCGCGCCCCGGCGCCCGCGTCCTCGGCATCGGCGCCATCGACGTGCGCAAACCCGAACTTTTACAAGAAGCCGCCGACCGGTGCGCGCGCGAACTCGGCAGCCTGGACTTTGTCATCGCAGGTGCAGCCGGCAATTTCCTCGCGACCATCGACCAGATCAGTCCGAATGCGATGAAGAGCGTTATCGATATCGATGTGCTGGGGAGTTATAATACGGTCAAGGCGACGCTGCCGTATCTTAAGGAATCGGCGGGGAGGTATAGGACGGATGGGACGACGCTGCCGGCTAAGGGGACGGGTGGGCGTATTATCTTTGTGAGCGCTACACTGCATTACACAGGTACACCGATGCAGTCCCACGTCTCGGTCGCGAAAGCAGGTGTAGACGCCATGGCTATGTCTGTTGCTATTGAGCAAGGGCCGCGGGGCATCACATCCAATATCATTGCTCCTGGGCCTATTGCTGAGACTGAGGGGATGGCGAGGCTGTCCAAGTCGGATGCTAAGAGTAAGGTGGCTAAGGCTGTGCCGTCTGGTCGCTTTGGAGCTGTCAAGGAGATTGCTGATGCGACTATCTATCTGTTCTCGGATGCGGGTAACTTTGTTAATGGCGAGACGCTTGTTGTGGATGGTGGCGCGTGGCATACCGCGGGCTTTGCGGGTGGGTTCGAGTATCCTGATTTCATGCTTAGTGGGGAGAGTGTTACGGGGGTTAAGGGCGGGAAGAAGAGTAAGTTGTAGAGAGGATATGTAGAGACTGGTACACGTGGAAATTGAAGACCGGGTTTGCGGGCTACGAGGACGCTGAATAATATGAGTTGTACCTTCTGACGCTGCCGTGGAGGCAGTCAACAGGTCTTTTGCTTATAGTCGTGTCCATCTAACGGCGATGTATCTGTCAGAGCGTCTCTTGGTAACGCGTACAACCTTTTCAGAACGAGCGTCTTCGTCAAACGGAGTAGTAAGATTAGCACTTCTCACATGAGATTGCATTTCAAGCGTATGTGACCCGGCCATGTGTGCATTGTGTCCCTTTAATTATTCTCGTTCACGTATAATTGTTTGGGTCTACAATGACGAGATTTGCACCGTGAGTAACTTGGTAAAGCGGCCCTGGACGTATCTGTTGCGCCTGTCATTTCGCGAAGCCATCTGCACGAGTATCATGTACATGGAAGTATTCGGATCAGCAACAGAAGCTTGGATGAAACCCGGCTCAACAGTAGCGTATCTGATGATGAGGATGTACTTGGTCTCCGCGGGTTCGTAGACTGACGCAATAAAAGTGTATGTATGCGTCTGAGTATAATGTATGATGCAATATATGCATAGCAGAAGGTGATGTATACGTCTGTTCCGAGGAGTGCTGAGTATGATTCAGGGAGGACGTGGCACGATGTGTACATCTATGTTGCATATAAGGTATCGCGTACATAGGCAAGCCTCTCTGTCAGCGTCTGATGCCAAACAGTTGCATTCCTACCTAGAGCTTCAGCCTTTTCAACATTTTCCTGTAAACAAACATGTATACCACGCCTGGTCACAGTCCCTGTGATGCTAGACCAGGCTGACACTGAGGTGTGCAGGCACGCTCGGGCAGCACTAAGTATCCCAGCTGTTGTATAGCGCGCGGCCCACTCCATACCTCGGAGCACTATAGCACCGGGAATCGAAATCGAATCTCAACGACTTTTGGACCAGGTTCGATAGTTCAAAACGGAATGAACCTTGTATCAAGGCTGTAGTGGCTGAGCAAAAGCAAAAGTATCATCGAGAGAGATCATCAGGTATCAGTGCTGCAATCTCACCAAACGTTGAGAGACTTGTCCAAGGACCTACCTCCGCCTCGAGCCTTGGGCGTAAAGGCGGACGGACGAATATAGCAGTCAATCTCTCAGTAAGCATCGCGCCCCAACATCCAAGCATCAGATCGTCGACTAGGTGTATTTTGAGTGTGAGATCATCGACCCTGAGCGGGAACCCATCTCGTCGTCAGCACATCAAAGAAAATCTCACACTTCCCCACGGATCAACATGCCAGCACATCGATCCTACCCAGTGATGCCAGCCGCACATCAAGGCATCCACGAATAAAACCCACTCGTTACCAACTTTGTCCCCGCGGAATGACGAAATGGATTGCAGCACCAGGTTTGGAGCGAGTGAACATCTTCATCTGCGCCCCTTGACGAGCCGCACATGCCAGGCCTGCGCTCCAGTTTTAATACAAAATGCGCAGCAACGGCTTACCCTGCTCCCCTGTCGATCGCACTATCGATACCCAGGGGTGCTCCTTCTGGACTGGGCTGGTGGTGGCTGGCCATGCATGCGTCATAGCCCTTTTTCAGGAGACAGGCGCGAGCGCGCGGTGCCCGGTTAGCGAAATTTGAGCGTTTAGGTTTGGCGTGTTTTGGGACTGGCGTGGGCTAAGACGCGTGGTCAAGCGGTGGCTTGCGGGTGCTTGGCCGGCATCTTCGCTGCGGTGGGTAGGGCCGTCGTTGTGTTTGGCTAAAGGTCGGCGCGCGTGTTTGTGTGGTTACTGTGGTGTTGGGCAATTCTCGGAGGGTTTAGGCTGAAGTGGAGGGTTCGTAAAAGAGATGAGGAGAGATAGGGT